AGCGCCGGGGCAGACGCGAGCGGGTCGGCAAAGAGGAGGGGGGGAGGGCGAAACCCCGATTGCGGTCACCCCTGATACCGCCACTGCAGCAGCACTTTCCCGCCTTCCCCTTAATTACGTCGAATTTCGCTCTTTTGCGCCCCGAGGGAGGCCGGAAAGGGGTTGGGCCGCCCGCTCAGGGGTCACCAACACTTCAGAGGACGACTACGACCACGACGTTGAGTAGTGATTGAAATCATGGTGCTTCATTCTGGCGTCAAGCGTTTAGGTAAAATCTGAACAGAGCTCATGCGATGTTATTCGCTATACCTATGCAATTTCTAGGTCAGAGAACACGTAATTAAAGAAAAACACAGTTGGCTGATAATAAAATAAATAATTGGAATGCTCTTGGATTTACAGGTCACTCCAAATATAATTATAAGCTATGTACGAAGTGCATTCAGAGAAGTATTACGTTTGAGCAAAATTAATAATGTTGCAGAATATAATTTTTTTTATAATCCAATGGCAAATGTTTATGTTGAAATGAACTTTGCATTACTTTGCTTCATCTATAAAGTTAAACAATGCTTTCATTTCGGTTTAGGGCAGATATGTTACTTTTGATTATCTACTAAATTATAACAAATGCATTTACATAAATTCTCTTTAAAATGTATTTTCGCTAGTTAATTGAAATTTCGGATAAATGGTATGTTTTCTTATTTGAGTTCCAATTAAAAACTGTACTAAAACATCGAAGTTAACATTCGCTCAAGAATCAGTATGAGCAACAAGAAGTAGTAGCAGCAATAGCGAGTGTTGGAATTAAGCAAAAGACGAAAGCAGAAGGAAACAACTTTACAGAACTTCTCTTCACACTAGTGTTGCGACCATAATGTAGCAAGTTAATTTTATTGATATATTAATTAAAATTAATAAAACAATTAAAAACCAAATAACTAGAAAAAGCAGCAAATCTAAGAGAGCTCGAGGAAATGAAAGTGAAATCCATAAACTGTGAAGAAAACTAATTTCGATGATCTATTAAGGAACGCACCGCATCCATTACCCTACATTAATTAATATTCGTCGGAACATCTCAAGTAATCTCACACACAGCAAGAATTCTTCGCTAATTCTCGCATAGCGGGAATCAACGTTTAACACCAACTTCAGCATCAGAACAGACACTAAAATGAGCCAGCCAAATACCGGAACATGTCATACCACCTGATTTACTGAATGCTATAGCGACACTTGAAATGCATTGAACCTTTTACTGGCAGAGTAACGAATGCAAAACGAAGTACGTAGTACGAACATAAAGGAAAGACTGGGACTCAGATTACCATCTACTTAATATCTTTCCTGTATGGTGCGAACAAATGTCTACGTATAAACACATAGGATATGTGCCCCTAAGAATTTAACGATAAGCAGCACACCCTACCATGCGATTTAGAACCCATTAACGTTAGCGCAATACCTCTGAAGGAAAACAGTAATCATGCAAAACCCAACCAGCAAATCAAATGTTACACGTCCACTTAAATGCCTGCAAGACGTTTCCGCTATACCAAAAATCATTCTCACGCGTTTCG